AACTTTAATGTTCAGAAGCTAGCTCGTGCGGTTTGGGCAATGAAACTTTAATGTTTAGAAGCTAGCATGTGCGGTTTGGGTAATGAAACTTTAATATCTAGAAGCTAGCTCGTGCGGTTTGGGCAGTGAAACTTTAATGTTTAGAAGCTAGCTCATGTGGTTTAGGTAATGAAACTTTATTATCTAGAAGCTAGCTCGTGCGATTTGGGTAATGAAACTTTAATGTTCAAAAGCTAGCTCGTGCGGTTTGGGCAGTGAAACTTTAATGTATAGAAGCTAGCATGTGCGGTTTGGGTAATGAAACTTTAATATCTAGAAGCTAGCTCGTGCGGTTTGGGTAATGAAACTTTAATGTTTAGAAGCTAGCTCGTGCAGTTTGAGCAATGAAACTTTAATATCTAGAAGCTAGCTCGTGCAGTTTGAGTAATGAAACTTTAATGTTTAGAAGCTAGCTAATGCTGTTTGAATAATGAAACGTTAAAAAAGGAAAACACTTGAGATACTAATAGTTAGCGTGACTACCTACGTATCAGAAGATTCAACGTTTAATCCGTTATAGTCGTGATAGTTACTCCTGCTTCTCAGTTATGAGTAAGTCATGTAGGCGGCTCGTGCTGCTGACTGGTTATTCTCCGTATCAGCAGTTCAAAATAAAGAACGGCTATCCCTGAACCTTTGCATATCTTGACCTCGCTGTTTAATCCATGTCGCACAAGATGTTGCCCAGGTTCAAAAACAAAATATATCAAAAATAACATTTAATAAATTTAGTTTTTCAATATTTTAAAACATGTACAGCAACACACAAATCCTTTTGTTTATGACAAAATGTTTAGGACTATCCGTCGTCGTCCCTAATTCTGAACTACCGACTAGAGGGAAGGCAAGAGCACTAACCGCCAAATCTTAGGTTACGCTTTAACAACGAATAGTGGGATTGAACGTACATCGTAACGCCTGCATGGCTGAAAGGGCGATCATGTTCGACACTGGGTTTCGATTCCGCAACCCCCAAATTACGAGTCGAGTGCCCTAAACATCAAGCCGACATATAAACGAAGTACAAATAATCCATACTTATCATTTGTATATATTATCTTAGGAAATAAAGTACAAATAATCCATACTTATCATTTGTATATATTATCTTAGGAAATAAAGTACAAATAATCCATACTTATCATTTGTGTATATTATCTTAGGAGATAAAGTACAAATAATCCATACTTATCATTTGTGAGTATTATCTTAGGAAATAAAGTACAAATAATCCATACTTATCATTTGTATATATTATCTTAGGAAATAAAGTACAAATAATCCATACTTATCATTTGTGTATATTATCTTAGAAAATAAAGTACAAATAATCCATACTTATCATTTGTTTATATTATCTTCGGAAATTAAGTACAAATAATCCATACTTATGATTTGTTTATATTATCTTAGGAAATAAAGTACAAATAATCAATTCTTATAATTTGTGTATATTATCTTAGGAAATAAAGTACAAATAATCCATACTTACCATTTGTTTATATTATCTTAGGAAATAAAGTACAAATAATCAATTCTTATAATTTGTGTATATTATCTTAGGAAATAAAGTACAAATAATCCATACTTACCATTTGTTTATATTATCTTAGGAAATAAAGTACAAATAATCAATTCTTATCATTTGTGTATATTATCTTAGGAAATAAAGTACAAATAATCCATACTTACCATTTGTTTATATTATCTTAGGATTATTTAAATATTGTGACGCAAGAATACTTAACTTTATAACTTTTACTTTAACTTTTCTATTAAAACTATTGCCTGTATAAAATCAAACTTTAACAAAGTTGAGAATTGGATTTAAGATAAAACTCATTGTAAGTAGGGGTGAATGAATATATCTTTAAATATCTAACAAACAAAATTTTCACACTGAGTAACTGTTCAGACTGTAACTAATGTGTCTTATTAAGTAGAAAATTATTTCGTAAGCCGACAGGAAGCTCTTAGGGTAATTTAACTGTGGCTCATCGAGTGCACTTTTAAAGTTCAGTGTATTATTTTATCAGGAAAGGAAGTTTGTTGGAGGTTCCCTGCAGATTAGTGAAAAACTCGCTGCTAGGCTAAAAGGTAAGTTTAAAACGATTAGTTAAGTAGTTGGTTTTAATGTACAATCAATGGTAGCACTTCTACAAGACGTATTTTTGGTTCAGTGTGTTCTAGATCTAACCGATAGATTATATGCAATACGTCAGTTAAAAAGTTTCTTAATGATGTATCTTATATTATTTTTACAAACAGTTTAATTACTTAAATATGTTATTATTTGTCTAAACAAAGCAAGTAAAGATTCTGCTTTTCTGTCTTTATGAGTAGTTTGATATTAAAGAATATTGACGGTTTCATGGAGCTTGATATTGGAAAATATCAACGGTTTCATGGAGCTTGATATTGGAAAATATCAACGGTTTCATGGAGCTTGATATTGGAAAATATCAACGGTTTCATGGAGCTTGATATTGGAAAATATCAACGGTTTCATGGAGCTTGATATTGGAAAATATCAACGGTTTCATGGAACTTGATATTGGAAAATATCAACGGTTTCATGGAACTTGATA